CGCAGACCGGCCATCTCAAATTCTTTTGGGCCGTCTCCATAGAGCTGACCATGTGCCCGTCAGGTTTGACTACGGTCACTCTTCCCCGGTAAAGTTGTAGTTCAAAGTTTACTACGACAAAGCCATCCTTTTTGAAGGTTCTTTCTCCGAAACCCGCACCATGGACCCTCGAGACGTTGCTAGTATTTAGTATCATGGAAGTGGTACGAGTGTCCATTTCTGATAGGTTGTCAAGACTTCCGGAGAGTACCTCGGAATCACTTGTATCGCCTTCTGACCACCTTTTGTTGTCGCCGTGCTGACCATCTAAAGACAATTCACTGTCACTACTTTCTTCTGTGCTGTTATCGTCGAGAGCAGACCTCTTCCGGGGTTGTCTAGCTCTGATACCGGAGGAAGAACTGCTCTTCTTGGGGTAACTTCGCGAAAGTTAGCGTGACACAAAGTTACCCCGTGAAGTATCAATATTTCAGTTTCCTGTCTATAACCTTAAACAAACATGACTTGATTAAATTTATTATACAGTTTATTTTAGCCCACATAATAAGAAGCACAAGTAGATACCACTTATCGCGGTTCTTCTCATGGGAACGGGTTGAGCGCAGAAAGTTTATGGTGCTTCAAGAGTACGCGTGTCAAAACACCATTCAACATGTCCGCGTCTAGAGTGGCTACACAGCATGGGAACCTCGGCCGGCTGCTGCTAGGTCACTTGGCATGTCAAGTGAGCTATTTCAGCGGCCTATTGCTTTTTGGTGGCACCTAGTCATGGCACGAGATTTAAAATACAGAAGCCCGAGTGGGTGTCACAAAGTAACACCATTTTACAGTATATGAATGTTTTTCCTGGCCCTTCAACTTTCGCATTGAGATCGTGCTGTAGTTTACCCTTACATGGTGTGCTAAAATAAAGAAACGAATTCTGTGAGCATTGCTTTCATTCTCTGTGTATTGCATCCCATATGCTGCTGCATCACACTGGCACAGCTGTTCCAATCTATGAAATTCCTGGCAAGTGAGAGTATTCATGTTTGTATTGTCCTTCGTATACATAGAGCTTGTCTTTTTAGAATGAGTAACTAGTGTCAAATTAAGTAATAAGAGCATAGTCACTCAATTATAATATGAAAAAAAAAATGTAATTAAGGAATTTGAAGCATTCAAGCTTGATTGGTACCAGGGGTAAAAAAACTATGGTTCGGTGTGCTGTGTAGTTTGTGCCAGCCTCACCTGTGCCTTGTGTTGTTGATGTGTCCATACATAATTATCAACCAAAAATATCATGCTTTGAGTATTGCTTGAAGAGCACGGCAACTGCCTTTTCATGAAAATCATTTGCCATTTTACACCTGTATTGTAGCCTAATGCATTGTCAACTTAGGATGGCAATGATAATCTGGTAATGTCTAAATGATTACATTGGATTGGCTGTATTGCACTATATAAAATCGACTAGTCTTTTTTCACACTTTCAGTTGACTGAAATTGAGAAAATTAGAGATTTCATTGCAACGTTAAAATTTCACTCAAGAAAAAGAACTTATGCTTTTGTTACAAATCACTGGTTTAGACTTAGGTACTCAATAATGTGTACTTTTATATTTCCCTATTTGTCTATGCTGAGGGAAACAGTTTTTCAGATAAGTGGCTGCAATGCTCGGTAGAACATTGATTTGACACTGCAAGATATAAATAATGATCTCTAAACTACTCTGCTACATGATGCCACAAAGGCAGGTAAAGAGTGTTCTACACTCGCCGTTATGGCTACTGGTGGCGCTATCTCTCCCACATTTAATGCACATATATACCCTATATAGTGAATGGGTGGGTAGTCACCGTGGCAGCTCAGTTGGTAGAGCATCGGATGCGTTATTCGAAGGTTGCAGGTTCGGTTCTTGCCCACAGAGAGTCAATTTTCATCCACTTTTCTTTCTTTACATTTACATTACAATTACATCATATAATATCGCGCCTATACTTTCCTTGGCATGTTTGTCTATTGGATCTCATTAACATTGTGTCTAGCAAAGAAAGCGAGCCCTTAGATGTACACATCTTTCCTTTTGTGACTAAGATAATCAGTTGAATGTGTGACATTTATATGCTTTCATTGTGCAAGATATTGACAATTATGTGAGAATGCTTGCTATGTAGGAATGTACCACTATGTAATGCATTTATCACATTGTTTTCCCCATCATCGTTATGCTTTCATTGACGCAGTATAGAAACACAGCGGCTACTGTATAAACTGTGGCAGTAGTATAACGAAACAGTTCCTTTTGCACTGAACATCACTTTCCTTGTAGTTCAGAGAACCAATACCGTGAGGCCGTTTGTAACTCTCATAATCTTTTTCCTTTCATTATATGTTTCACTTTGATTCATTTAAACTTCTTTCACTTATATTTTATTTTGTATGCTTAAGGTGTTGGAATGTAAAGTGACCCGTCTGCTGTGCAGTGTTCCATGTATAAAAAAGCGCAATAAACTGTTTAATGGGTTAGAATTTGTTTGAGCACATTCAGAGCCATTTGAGTGTTTAGGCACGGCCACAGGATGAAAGAGCGCACGAGTACGGTCCGCCGCGTGCTCCAAAACCGGCGTGACAGGTCTAGTTCCCAAACCACCGCTGCGGCGCGCTTGGGGTAGTTACGATTGAGCGCGTGTATCTTTGCATGACCCGCGAAATATTCTTTTAATATCCATCTGGCGTGTGCGCACCAGGTACTTACCGGCCTTGCTTTTAGATACCTGCAGCCCTTGAAAATTTTTGGTACGGTCTTACTCGAGATGAAATGTACCTTGCACACTGATCAGTTTTCGCGAAAGAAAGAATTGTGAGCACATTTTACTCGGATCCTACAAGATCACAACTAATAGATCTGGAAGAGCTACACTTTTCTAATGCATCTAAATTAATTATATTAACTGTGCGTATGTCTCTTCAGAAAATGTTGCTTCAAATTTGATAACTTCACTTAGAATATTTAACCTCAGCAACTGCAGTTGTCACTATTCTTTTAACACTAACTAAGGAAGACTTTTCACTTCTTCCAAACACATCTTAGTATTCATACAATGCAGTATCAGATACAACAGCCACAAAATATGCTTTGCATGGGTGCGATCTCATAACATTGGACTCGAGCATTTTTGAAATTTCAGTGACTGTAATTCAAATGCTGGCAATCGAGCGAGCAGTTATGAAGTGAATAATATGAAAACTGTGAGGCGAAAAAAAAAGAGCGATGAAATGCTGCAAAATGGGAACACAACTGCTTGCGTTCCTGCGCTTTTGAGTGTTTTCGTCTCTTTCCGTCCCGACGCTCTTACGATAATGCAATTAATTAAACAGTGAACACATAATAAGGTATGTGAAAATATTTTCTTTATTCTCAATTTAGGGTTGATCCTGGCATTTTTATTTTTTTACTTCTTTACAATTTTGCATAGTCAAACGACTTGACAATTGCTCCATATTGCGTGCCCAACTGTTAGCTTCTGTGTCTATTGACAATAAAACCAGCCATTCAGTCTTTTCATGTTAGCCTCTCAACGGGCACTGGAGACCCCGATAGCACTCCAATGCGCTTGTCTTCTGGCAGTCTCCGTTTATTTTTTTTACTTGTTTACAATTTTGCATAGTCAAACGACTTGACAATTGCTCCATATTGTGTGCACAACTGTTAGCTTCTGTGTCTATTGACAATAAAACCAGCCATTCGGCTTTTCATGTTAGCTTCTCCACGGGCACTGGAGACCCCGATAGCACTCCAATGCGCTTGTCTTCTGGCAGTCTCCGTCATGTGGTTGTGTCAACCATTACTGTTTATTTGTTCTACTATGTATCGTCGGCAAATTGGCACCTGTGCTCGCTCAAACGAGGGCACGTCACGTGCACTCGACTGCCCTACAGCAGCAGGGGCAGGGGTTTCGCGATGTGTAAACATGATAAAAACATGGTTGTCACTTGACCCGGCCGTGTGTGTGCGTGTGTGTATATATATGTGTGTGTGTATATATATATATATATACACACACACACACACACACACACACACACACACACACCACACACACACACACACACACACACACACACACATTACTGTGGACCAGATAACATGAAAAATATTGAAATTATGTTTCTTTGATACGCTTTCAGAATATAAAAACTGTGAATGTCTATTGTAAAGTGTCCAAAAATAATTGTCAAGCATTCCGGCTGAGCAAACGCGAAAGTGCTGAATAAACGTCACAAAATTAAAATATGTTAGTTTAAGACATCTTCATAAATAGAACAATGACTTTGTCACGCATTCAGTGTCATATCATTCAGCTACATGAATTGTAGATTTTTCTGTCAGCCTCAAAACAGGAAGCTGGTTCTAAAGAAAACAAAAAAGAATGTCAGGTGCTCGGCACGCGCAGGAAAAATCAATTAGCTTTTTAACTAGATCCCTCCTCATAGTCTACTAAATATGCGATATGTCATCGCTGTGATAAATGAGAATTAAAAAAAAACATTGATTAGGACAACTGAGTGTGTCACTGTTGTGACAAACACCACCTAATTTGCTGCGGCTGCGGCCCTGAGGGAGCCGCCGCCATTCGATTCCCCGTCCCTCCCGTACCCGCCCCGTGGCGCTGCAGCGGTCGCAACTGAGCTTATGGCTGATACGCGCTCTTCCATAGAAAGCCGCCCCACATGGCAGGTTGTACCGTGTGCTTTTTCATCCAGCGGCCGTGGTTTAGCTAGAGCTTATGAACAGCATAAAAATCAAATTTTATTTTTTGGCACCCATCATGTGCACCTAGAGTGTAGTTTTCAGAAATAAGCTGTGTTTGTGCACTGCGATTATGAGAGTACCATTAGTTTTGATCACCTACTTCAATTAGAAGCGGGGCAACCATTGTGTGTTGCGGGCTATAGCAGTTAAGTTCCATGTAGTGAATGACCACTAAGCATTTGTGCTATCTTATTTGGTTTGCAGGACCGGTGTCCTTATCATCCCAGGAGCACTCCTCTTCATCGGCACCTCTACGAGATCGACTGCATTCCTGCCAGCAGTGCTCCTATGTGACCCTAAACAGGTCAACTATGAGCAGGCACCTTTGTAAAGACAAGGGCAAGCATCCATTTCAGTGCCATTTGTGTCCAGCTGCATTCATTTGCAAATCCAAGCTTGTATCGCACATGCGAACCCACACCGGAGAGCGGCCCTTCTCCTGTGCATATTGTAGTGCATCTTTTCCGCTGAAGAGCACCCTCGATGGCCACATACGCACTCACACAAAAGAGCGTCCCTTTTCCTGTGTACAGTGCAGGGCATCATTTACGCTGAAACGCATCCTTGTAGCTCATATGCAAACTCACACAGCAGACCGTCCTTTTTCCTGTGAACTGTGTGATGCGTCTTTTAGGCAAAAATCTAGTTTTTATGCACATATGCACTCTCACACGGGAGTGCCTCCCTTCTCTTGTGTCTACTGCAATGCATCATTCACCCAGAAGTTTAACCTCGTGAAACACATCCGCATTCACACAGGAGAGCGTCCCTTTTCATGTGTGCTCTGCAATGCATCATTTACTGCTAAATACTACCTTGTTCAGCACATGCGAGCTCACACAGGAGAGCGGCCCTTTAGCTGTGTCCACTGCAATGCATCGTTTTTACAGAAAGGCACCCTTCAAAAACATATGCGTTGTCACGTAGGAGAGCGTCCCCACTCCTGTGTCCACTGCAATGCGTCATTTTCACAAAAATACCACCTCACAATGCACGTGTCCCGTCATCATGGAAACAAGTCTTAAATGTGAGGAGTGTATGGGAGCGACCTTTCTCCCGTGTGCAATGCATTGCACCCCTTGTTCTAGTAGTTCTGGCATTCGGATGCTAAACCAAAGGTAGCGATATTGAATGCCGGCTTCAGTGGCTGCACTTTCGATGGAAAGAGAAATGTTTGAGGCCCGTGTACTTATGTGCCTGTTAAAGAAACCTAGGTCGTCGAAATTTTCGGAACCCTCCACTATCAGGTCTCTCATAATCATATTGTGTGTTTGGGACCTTAAACGCCAGATGTAATTAAAGTGTTTTGTCCCGCGCTAACCCTAAATCGCACCCCACACACCGCTACGTCTTGCCACTCTTCCCAACCAGCCCGAACTCCCCCTTCCCCACACACGCAACCCCCACCACTTCAGTCCCTATAATGATGATGACGCCGTCACGTAGTGCCCTCTCTCGGCCAAGTCCCGATGATGATGATGACGCCGTCACGTAACGCCCTCTCTCGGCCACCCTCACAGGTCTCCCCCTCTCAAAATGTGAAGCCACCACTACACATCGCCTGCAGTGTCATGGTAGAGTGTCAGCTGATCTGCGTGTCTCACACCGTGGCGACGACCCGTTTTGGGGTCCACTAGAACAAATTCATTCTGTCCTACACGTCTCACTGCCCGAAAAGGACCGGAACGCCGGGGAGATCACCCTCCTGTATTGTCAGTGGCCGCCTGTGCTGGTCGTAGCGAGTCTTCTGGGCGCGCCACGTGTGGTTTTGGTGTGTCCTGGAGAAGTCAAGCACCTTCTGCAGACACTTGGAGACCTCAGTAGCAAATGCACAATATGCTGTCGCAGGAGGCTCCGCGTCGTCTTTGGCCTCAGCCTGTGTCCATGGGGTTCTCAGCTCCCGGCCATAACAGAGGAAAGCAGGCGTGTAGCACGTGACAACGCTTTCAGCCGTGCGCATGGCCAGGGCAATTTCAGGGATGTGCTGGTCCCAGTCTTTGTGGTTGAAACAATAAGCTCTAAGGCACTGCTTGATAATGGCATTGTGGCGCTCCGCCATTTGCCCGGCAGGGCGGTACGGAACAGTGTGTCGGTCTTGTATGCCCCAATGCTCGAGGAGGCTCTTCCACAACCTGCTTACAAACGGCTTTCCATTATCACTTGAAATGGAGACAGGTGTGCCATGTCTGCAAAAAACCTGGATCATGCAGGCCACCACATTCTTGCTGTTTGCTGCCCGTAAGGAAAAAGTTCAATGAACTTGGTGAACTTGTCAATCACCACGAGAAGGTACTTGTGGCGTCGAGGCGTCATAGGTAAGGGCCTAATTATGTCCATGCTGAGCTTTTCCATGGGGGCAGTGGCCCATTGACTGCTCATCAGTTCTTCTGGCTTCTGCCGGTGGGCTTTGGTGCGCTGAAAAACCTGGCAGCATCGCACATACTTGGATATGTCCGAGCGCATACCAAGCCACACGAAATTCTGAGAGATGCGTTTGAGGGTCTTAAAAAAGCCGGAGTGGCCGCTAATCGGGTGGTCATGGGACAGTCGCAGGACCAAGTTGCAGAGATGGTTTTGTAGCCAAGGTACTTTCCTGTTCCCTCGGTGCTGTACAAGCAACCCACTCTCTTCCATCTCGGTCATCTCTGCCAGGTCTTTGATCAAAGGTTTATCACTGTCAGTGGGCGGAAGCTTCCCTTCCTTCATCACAGTTCGTAGTTTTGACAGTATGGGGTCCTGCTCTTCTTCCTGGGCGAGGAGCCCTGCATCATTCAAGACAGTAGTGTCGTCCACTTCAGATGCTACAGCAGCTGCCTCAAAGCGGATTTGTGGGCTGGGCTCTGGAACAGCCATAGGGAACAGCATCTCGTGTAGACTCGGGCTTGGAACTTCCTGGTGCTGAAGGGGAGCTCTGCTCAAGGCGTCGGCTGGCACATTTGCAAGACCCTGCCTGTGCTCGATCCTGCAGTTGAAACCTTGCAGCCGCAAAACCCAACGCTTTACACGTGGTGAGGCCTGGTCTGTGGTGAACATCCAGGACAGTGAGGAGTGATCACAGTGTACCTCAAACTCGGTGAACTCAAGGTATGGTCGGAACTTGTCCACTGCCCACACCACAGCCAGACACTCCCATTCTTGCACTGTATAGCGCTGCTCTGCCTCAGTGAGGACCCTGCTAGTGAAGCTTATTGGACGCAGTTGAGCATCACTCTCGGCTGCCTGCAGAAGCACCGCTGCAATGCCGACTCCACTGGCGTCTGTTTCCACCACGAATGGTCTGTTGAGGTCCGGCAAGTTTACAACAACATCGTCGGCCAGGGTCTGCTTAAGTGCTCTAAAGGCTTCCTCTTGCTGCAGCTCCCACCGCCAACGTTGGTTTTTCTTAAGGAGTTCTGTGAGTGGACGTGCAGTGATAGAAAACTAAGGTATGAACCCTCTGTAATAAATAGCCTGCTAGTCCCAGGAAGGCCTGCAGCTGTTTGAGTGTTGTTGGTTGAGGATAGTCCAGCACCGCTCGCACTTTTTCCTTGTCCGGCCTACACTGCCCGGGCGATATTTCATGGCCAAGGAACTTCAGGTATTGACAGCACATGTGCACCTTCTCTGGGTTAATGGTCAGCTGTGCCGAACTTATCCGCTTCAACACCTCCCGAATATGCTCAAGATGATCCTCTAGGGTCTCCGAATACACCAGGACATCATCGGGAAACGCCATGGCAAACTGGTGATTAATTCCCTCCAGTAGTCGGTCCATCAGGGTCTGAAACGTGGCAGGACCTCCGGCAACTCCAAAAGGCATTCTCATGAACTCGAAGGTTCCCCGATGGCAAATGAACGCTGTCTTTGGAATATCCTGCTCTTGAACAGGGATTTGAAAAAAACCCTGTGAAAGATCAAAACTTGAGAACCACTTGGCTCGTCCCAGCTGTGCCAGCAACCAATCAGTCCTCGGCATGGGGTAGACTGGCACCTTAGTGTGTGCATTCAGCTGGCGGTAATCCACAGCCATGCGGTAGCCACCATACTTCTTCTCAACCAGGACTGGAGCACTGGCATGCTGACTTTGGCTAGGGCGGATGAGGTTCTGTGCCAGCAGGTCTTGAATGCAGTTGTCCATGATGGCCTGCTTCTTGGCATTCACTGGTCGCAGTTTGCATCGAACAGGTGGGTTGTCTCCCGTGTCTATGCGATGCTCTGCCAGGGTTGTGCAGCCCGGAGTTGTGGTGAAGATTTCGCTAAACTCTTCTAAAATGTGTTTCATGCGTGGGTCTAGGTCCGACGAGTGGCCGGGAATGATCACATTGCAGGCTGCAGTCGTCTCTGGCACACTGGCACACACACTGGCATCGCCCTCAGCAAAAATGCAGCGCAGACTGTCTCCAAAATCATCCACTGCCTCTGGCTGTTCCTTAACGGCCTTGACAAAGGGCACAATTCTTTGTGGTTTTGTGCCGACAGTCCACCCACCAAGTGACATGTGCAGAGAGATGCCACTCACCGTCAGGAAATCCCTACCAAGGACAACGTCACGGCACAGGTCAGGAACGCACAAATACTGCTGTCTGCGGCAACCGGCAGCCCACTCGATCTGGCACTTCAGAGACATGGTTGACTGCGACCAGCCAGGTGCCTAACGCAGCACGCGTACGTCTGCCTTGGGTTTGGCTCCAGAAGCTTGGGCCGCCGCCGCGGCGTGCGGTCCGAAGAAGCTTACACTTGAGCCTGTATCTAGCAGGGCCTTAAACTTCGACGACCCGATACGGACGTCCATAAGGGACTCTTTGCCAACGGCTGTAATCGCTACTTGGTGCGCACTGACGTAGGTGCCCGCCGGGGCAGCAGCTACCGCCACTGGTTTCCCGGGCACTGTGCTTGCAGGTGACCCGATCGCTGGCACCGGAAGCAAGCGGGTGGCCCCATTCGTCGACCCGTGGCACAGTTACGAGATATGTGGCAGAATCCACCACAGCGATGGCACTGCACACGCATTGCTCCACTCGCGGGCTCCTGCCGCGGCGTCGGTCCCGGCCCGTAGGGTGAGAACGCCGGCGCTGTGTCGCACGAGTACTGTCAATCCCGGCAGTACGACGGGTCTAGCGCAGCTGGATGCAGTGGCCAGTGATAAGTCGGCGGTGCCGGTGGGGCAGCAGCAAACAAAGCGAACGACGCCGTCGCCATAGTGTTCGGCTGTGGCAGTGAGTGATGGTCGGGGGCCTGGCTAGGGCGGAACGCTAGATCTCTGGCTACTTGGTTGCTCGGAAGTGGCGGCGGTCTGTACTGGAAACGACGCCAAGCCCGCTCCATTAGGCCGTCGGCTGCCTTCACCAACTCGGCGAGGTCGTTGTAGGCATGCCCCTCCGCCAAATCTTGCAACTGAGGGTGCATCTGCCTCAGTACGCGCTGCACCTTCTCGGCTTCGGAGACCTCTTCCCTGATGCGGTCGTAAAACATAGCGATCGCATATATAAACTCTTTCAAATTTTCTTCCGGGTGCTGCGTGCGCTGTTCGAGCTCCGGCTTCAGGCGACGCTTCGCGTCAATCGACGAGAACTCGGAGCGGAAGGCGACAGTGAATTGCTCCCACGAGTCGAACCCGCGCACGAACCGCCACCACAACTTCGCGCCACCCTCGAGGGCAGCCGGTACCACGTGTGTCAGTCCCTTATCGGCGGGGACCCCCGTCACGAGGCAGAAGTCTTTCAAACGTTCAAGAAACTCCTCCGGCGACTGCAAGTCTCTGGCACCGGAGTAGCGGGGGAGGTGCGCAGCGGCGAGCCGAGGCGCAGAGTCGTCGGTGGACCGAGGGACCGCGCCAGTGTTAGCGATCCCAGTCCATGCTCCCACGTGTGGAGCCGTGGGCAGCGGCGTCCCCATTACTCGATTGCGCACGACCGCCGCGATTCGTTCGCGCTCCATGGCGGAGCCGTCGGTGCCCAGCAACAGCTCTTCAACGAGACCTTGGAGCCTAGGCATGTCGTCCGCTGCTGTTGTCGGGCCTGAAGCCATCCCGGACGAGCCCCCACTTGTCACACGCTAACCCTAAATCGCACCCCACACACCGCTACGTCTTGCCACTCTTCCCAACCAGCCCGAACTCTCCCTTCCCCACACACGCAACCCCCACCACTCCAGTCCCTATGATGATGATGACACCGTCAAGTAGTGCCCTCTCTCGGCCAAGTCCTGATGATGATGATGACGCCGTCACGTAACGCCCTCTCTCGGCCACCCTCACAGTTTATTAATGCACTTTTATGCAGAAATGCCATCTTTGGGAACCCTTGCACTCACACACGGGAGGGCATCCCTTTTCCTGTGTCCTCTGCTATGCATTGTTTTTACAGAAATACAGCCTTGCTAGACATGAGTGCTTTCACACAGAGTAGCGTCCCTACTCTTGTGTCCCCTGCAATGCACTGTTTTCGCAAAAGCGCCACATCTCAGAAAAAGAAGCTGAAAATGTGAATCAATAAAACTTCCTCTCATGCTAGCGGGTGTTGTATCCCAGATGTTTTAGCGCTTACCCTGTGCACTGTCTTCTTCTCGGCCATAGTTACTTCTTTTTCTTCGTGTTCACGCTAAAAAGTATCACGTCTGTAAATGTGAGGGGCGTACGGGCTTCTTTTTAAGGGGGCAGACTCATCTTAGACATTTTTATATTTATTTCTTTGATTACCTTGATCAAACTGCACAGGCTTATGCAGTCTTTTTCTGCTGATTTTGAATATGTAATTACTATTCTTGTAACTCATGTTGTTGAGATAACTTAGGTTTGCTCCCTATTGTTTAAGGCCACAATAAAAAGTGCTTAATTAAAAAGTATGTTTAAGGTATGTTTGCATAGTAATGACTTGTGGTTGAAAGTATGCAAGAGATTTTTTTTGTATCTTGGTTTTTTGCAGCAAAATGAGCTTTCCATTTTTAAAAGCAGTTGGGATTGTGTTACAGTTTTGAAGAGTAATTAGTTAACAAGGTTTGTGCTCTAAATTCTGTTCCCATACTTGCATTCTGTACATGTAAACATTTCCATTGCAAAAAGATTTATTATTGTACCTGCCT